CTGGGTTGGAGTTTTCCATTCAAGGAAAACGTGACCAGTGAACAGCTGAGCCAATCAGGAGCAGGCGACCGCCCACTGCTCATTAACTATAGCATTTGAATACTTAGTTGGTTCCTTTTTAGTCTTGAAGTTGAATTATTTTCAAAGTGACTCATCTCAGTTAATATAAGTCCTTCACAGCGTCTTCATCACATAAATATAAATTTTATATGTGACCTTATGTGTGGAGAACCTTAAATTCTCCTTTTACATGATCACACAGATAAGTTTAATCATTACCAGAGGCACCGTTGCAAATTAAACAGTTTATTGAGCTCACAAAAGCCTATGAAATGCTTGGGGGAGGAATAATAATAGAGACAAACACAAATATGACTAAATACACTTGAGTGTTCCCCAACAAAAACACAGTCACAATAATCCTGAAGCAACTAAAAGCAAAACTCCCCTTCCACTATAGTCTCCTCAATCTAGATAAACAGCTTGGGACCCAGGGACAGCGACATCTTTTTGTTTTACAGAGAAACCAAAGGGCTGGACGATAAAAACTCCCCTTCTTTAGACAAAATAAATAAATAACAATAAAAAATGCTTTTGATTAATAATAACTATCCAGAAAAGAAATTCTAAACTAATACACCACTGAAATTGAAACAAAACTAAAACTGAAACAGTAGCAGGCCAACATGCACACAAAAGAAAAAGAGTAAGACAAGCACCTCAAGATGCCAGATAATAAGAAACTGCCTTGACCTTCTATAGTGAAACAGTGAGCGGTGCTCTGCACATCCTCTCCAGAAGTGAGTTTCCTGCAACAATCACTGGAGGCATCAGAAATCATTCCAAACCCAATTCATGCTTCATGTTAAACATGCCTCTGGATGAATCATCAGCCTGGGATCTGATGCCTCAGTGATCTACCTGCTTTTAAATGCAAATGCTGATTACCTCTCTCCACAACAAACCAGCTGCACTCTGTCACAGCATCTTCCTGATTTGGGCAAGAGGAAGAATGTGCAGCGCCATACTTCCACGACAAGACGCCCGGCTGAAATCTACCCCAACTTTTTGTGTTGGCGGCTCATCAATAGACAGAACTTACTGACACCATAATTAAAAAATGTCAGCCACAATGCTACCAGCAGCAGGGATCTGAGAGACTGTTGCCCCTTCTGCCCTACATCTTGATGCTGGGAGGAAGAAGAAGAGCATAAAAAACCAACAAGCCATTAGGGGTTTTCCAGCAGTTTCAAATTGTTTCCCATGTCATACAGTTCTGCATCTTGATCTGTGTCCATGAATTTTAGAGATCAGAAGAGGAGGTAAAGTTCCTTGTATGGATGTTTGGAATCCCATAATCCATACTGTGATGAAGGCTCCAACTTCAGGAGGTTCTGTACAGCATTGCACCCTTGGATAACCTTCAGAGGCTGAGGACAGTGCACCATCTGATGTTGAAACCAGTTCCTGAAGGACTCTGGCCTCAAGAACTCAGGAGAAACAAGGACATTTCCAACATCAGGAAAGAGGAGGTGGACGAGAAACTTGATTTTGTCTTTGTGGTAACTCCATCAGTCGTGTGACTAAAGTTTAATATTCACTTGATATGTGATAAAGAGAAATGATAAAGAAATGTAAAAACAAAATAGAAATCTAAATCTTCATTATAATATTCTTCAAAGTATTTGATTGTAGATTATCTGCGATCATTTAGTCACTTTGTCTTTACTTTGTCATGTTATTTGTAAAAACAAAACAAAACAAAAATTACTGGTTGATATAATGTGTAGTTATACCATATAAAATAAATACTTATATAATGTATAAGTCATTAATGACTTATTTTAACTGATGAGTTACTTTGAAAATATTTCAACTTCAAGACTAAAAAGGAACCAACTAAGTATTCAAATGCTATAGTTAATGAGCAGTGGGCGGTCGCCTGCTCCTGATTGGCTCAGCTGTTCACTGGTCACGTTTTCCTTGAATGGAAAACTCCAACCCAGAATCAACGTCACCGATTGGCGTCATTGACCGCCTGAACAGAGTCTTTGAATGTAGACCCTCTGCGCTCATTTGGTCACTAACCATTTGCTTTGTCTTTCAGGTAAAAACTTAAAAAACACTAAAAACCTTAAAGATAGGATAGGTTATCCTTTCTTAAATGATCAAGCATCGATATGCAGGATCAACAGATCATGTTTAGTCCGGGTCTTTATTTACAGTCATGTATGTAAAGGAGGATGATATTTGATCACTGGACTCTGGAAACAAACTCGTATCGGTTCTGCTCGCTGCAGCGTCCACACGTTGCTCTCTACTGCCCCCTAGGAAAGGTTGGGCCTGTAATAGCAGAGATTTATCTATTCTGCGTAGAATTTTTTCACCAAAATGGAAAGTATTTCCAGATTTACCTACACTGCACATACATTAGGAATACACATTTCTGCAATTAATTCCAACAACAGGATTATTATTTTTCTATGGAAACATAAATCTCACTTAATAAGAAAATGTAATGTAATCAGTTTGAAGATGGACGACTGCAAGCTTTTCAATTTGATTGAACGAACGACACTTTAAAAATAAAATGGCTTCGGTCTTTTTTTTAAATTAAAAGGATTTATGGTTCTATATTCCAAGTAAAATATTTTCAAATCTGGGCAGAGTTCGTTTTCTTCTTAGTTTGACTGTGACATTGACATTGTTGTCAAATTTATTTCGGCTTATTTTAAGACTGTTCATAATTCCTGCAGTGGTCAATTTAATAAACTGCATTAGATACGATAGTAGAATATTTAGTTTATTGCAAATACAAATATAGATACGAGAAAGAAAACAGAAAGTGACTAAATTATCGGAGATAACAAAGACTGGATAAAAAAAATTACTATGATGTTTTCAATATATATATTTATACATATCTACACGTTGCAGTAGAACAGTGTTTTTCAACTAGTGTCCCGTGGAAATTATTCAATTTCACTAAATTGGTGTAAAACGATTTTTTTTGAAAACAAATTGACTGCAAATAATATGCCATTTCCGAGAGTCTGTGTTGTATAGTGACTAGCGGCGTCATCATGTAATTTCCTGATGACAGGATGGCAGTAGGTACACAGCACTGTACGTTAAAACAAGAGAATTAGTGATGCATGAATGTGACAGGAAGCGGTGAGAGCATTGTACCAAGCAAGACTGTGATGACAGTGATGGAAAAGTTTTTGAAAAGAAAAAAGCTAAATTCAGACCCAGATGAACTTAGCATGAGTGGATATCAACGGAAGGCAAATACCGTGAGCTTTTTCTTTTCCAAATATTATTGCTTCTCTCAGAAAAGGAATTATTTTCTATATTCTGGCTGAGAGATTGCTTGTGGTCAGAATTAGTCGTGTGAACAATGTGGTCTTAAATTTAAATTGTTGTGCCACTGATCAGGCACACTTTTGAAGTAGACATGTTAAGTGCAATTTGAAATATCTAATATAAAATATGATACAAATTCCTATTCAAGACACTTTGATAAGAACGACCATATATTATTATTATTTATTATTTTCATTTGTTTATATTTTTGGCTGGTGGTGTGCCTCTTGATTCTTTCAATGAAAACAATGTACCTAGGCTCAAAAAAGGTTGAAAAATACTGCAGTAGAAAGCAACGTTTAGATGCTGGGAGGAAGAAGAAAAAGTATAAAAAGTGTCCGGTTGTTTAGGGAGCAGCGGATCAGAACCAGAGTCAAGGGAGCAAATATCATCCTCCTTTACATACATGACTGTAAATAAAGACCCGGACTAAACATGATCTGTTGATCCTGCATATCGATGCTTGATCATTTAAGAAAGGATAACCTATCCTATCTTTAAGGTTTTTAGTGTTTTTTAAGTTTTTACCTGAAAGACAAAGCAAATGGTTAGTGACCAAATGAACGCAGAGGGTCTACATTCAAAGACTCTGTTCAGGCGGTCAATGACGCCAATCGGTGACGTTGTTTCTGGGTTGGAGTTTTCCATTCAAGGAAAACGTGACCAGTGAACAGCTGAGCCAATCAGGAGCAGGCGACCGCCCACTACTCATTAACTATAGCATTTGAATACTTAGATGGTTTCTTTTTAGTCTTGAAGTTTAATTATTTTCAAAGCGACTCATCTCACACTGAAAAAAATAAGTCATTGGATGAACATAAAAAAATTATGGAAAGGATTTCCACCTGATTACTTTGCTTTATTTCAGCACCATGTACTTGTGTTACTCCTATTTAAAGCAAATGTGTTAGGTCAACCTAATTTATTAAGATTATTCCAATGTAAAGCAAATGTGTTGGCTCCACTTGTTACAATGGTGATTCAATGGGTGATTCTAAATCAAACATGTTGGCTCAACGTAATATATTGTGGTTATTCTTATATAAATTAAATGAGTTGGCAAAACATAATTCATTAAGGTTGTTCTAATTTAAACCAAATATGTTGGCTTAACCAGAATTATGGTAAGGCAATGGATGATTGTAAATCAAATGAGTTGGCTCAACTCCATTCATTAAGGTTATTCAAATTCAAATGAAATGTGTTGGCTCAACATATGTTTTAAAGGTTCCTTTAACTCAGTTACTATAGCGTGACCCAGTGTAATGCAATACAGCCCGCCCAACTAATCTGCAATGTTTAGGACCAAATCATTGATGTAACTTCATTAAGATGAATGTAAATCTAGTTGAACCACTTATTTTACAGTGGTACCTTCACACTACCTGATTCAGTAGGTCCAACTCACGAAAAGCAAGTTAGCTCAACAAATATCTTCATGCTAAAAGACAGCTAGTTAATCATGTGGAAATCCTTTCCATTATTTCATGACGTTAATTCAAAGACATATTTTCAAGCGTTAATCAAGCATTTTAAGATAGCACTAGGTGAAAGTGTAGGAAGAACACTCAACAATTAGAAAAGGTACAACACAATTGTATTTTCGAATTGTTATACATCGTTTTTTACACAGCACAAAACACAGCTGAGTTGGACATTGAAATAAAAAAACAACTACAAAAAGGTTACAGTTTCATTTCCCAGCCAATTCTTTACAACATAAAACATGTCAGTATAGTTGCTCAACTTAGAGAACTGTAACAATATAAATCTTTCTACTGCAGACTTTAAACACTCATTTTCCATATGAAACTTTGCTCAACTTAGCAGCGAGTTTCATATTGAGAACTTGTGCTTTCTTTGATAAGTTCTTTCCATCCAATTTCATTATTATTTTCTGTATTACTTCAAAGGTATGCTTGAGTTACTGAGCAAGTTGAGTGCTGAACGCACTAAACTTGAGGGTAGCTCAAGTTTAGTGCATAGATTAGTCCCAGCAGCATCACTATTGCAGAAGATACACTGCCCAAGCTGTTCATAACTTCCACCTCCTCCAGGACAATCCCAACATCCAGATGTGCATCGGCAGCCTCTGCACCCTCTGCTCAAATGACGATTCCGAGGACAGCCTCGGCTTTGGCCATTTCTGCGCATTCATCAACGTCCTAAGGGAGTTAGGGAAGGGTATTGGGGGTGAGACAATTCACATGTAATTAAATAAATAAATTAAGACTGACATTGATTGAGTCACTCATGGACCTTAGTTGTTGAAAGTATTTTAACAACTCTTAGGAGTTCTATTGTAACACAAGAGAATTTAACATACCATGTACTCCCTCACCAGCTTCTCTGGATCTTCATTTAGGTACACACAGACCTTTGAGGATGCACTCTCGTCTGACCTCAGCAGTGTCTTCCTAAATATGCAGATCAAAAAACAATGAGAACAATCTCAAAACTCCAGCAGTATAGGTTCACACACTTGAAAGCATAGCTGCATTCAAAGGAAGTCACAACAAAAGTGATCAGTGACTTGCAGTCTGTTTGAAAGATATTTAAAATTGCTAGTATCCCTTCATCATGCCATGACTAAAATGGAGTTTAACATCTCATTTAAACATCTAACTGAAGCTGTTAGAGGTTTAAATAAAGACATGAATATATTACCAAAGAAATATGTGAAAAGTACAGAATGGTCAACACAGTCTATATCCTTCTACTTAAATGAATATGCAAAGCATTCCATGTCTTACAAGTACATGGACAGTCTATGTGTGGGCATGGATAACGTCGCATATGCCGGTGTTTAAGTGTAAAATGTTTTAACAGGTCATATCTACGAGACAGAAAGAGACTACACTCCTTACATTTCCACATCCCCACGCAAATAAAGACAAATAAAACAGACTGGCCAAATAAATGTTTAGCTGAACTCTAGCTCTATAAGCTCTCTAACACTACATTCAGTCACTTTAGATCTGGCAAAACTTACTATTAGCCACTGAAATCTATAACTTGATAGCCGATGAGCCCCTTGACCAGTACTTACGCAGGTGGATTACAGACAGGTGATGTTCTGAAAGAGATCAGATATATTTTCAGCCATTAAAATATGCAATTCATACTGAACTGAGTTGTATCTTTTAGTACAAGTCCCTTGAATGCCTCATGAATATAACCACTGGACACATGCAAGCACATATGTGCAGAACAATGGTGAATTGAACATGGTAGAAAGTAATAGTAACAAAGGTCAAAATGAGCACAAACAATCAACACAAAAAACATCAACATTTCAAAATTAAACCAATGAACTTCAATATTGTTTCTGAGCTACAATTATTTGGGACAACAAAGAAGAGTCCAAAAAACCCCAACATCTTTACAGCAGAGGAATATGTATTTTAAAGAAAAAAATAGAAAGCTCAAGTCTGTAATAATGGATAATCCATTGAGAGTTTTAGCCTGACAAAATATACTAGAAATCCATAACTAACAGGTATTTTAGGAACATTTAACAAAGCTCAGAAAGCAATGCTTTCTGCAGGTTTCACCGACTGAAATGTAGGACTTTTTATTACCATAATTAATTAAGAATCTCGATGATGATAGAAAGGTACCAAAGTGTGTGTGTGTATCTACATTTACCTCCATAGTAACATTACTGAAATAGAATTAAAATAGTTAAAAATAGACTGATGTTAGATCCGTGTGTTAAAATCCACTAAACCTCCAGGGAGCTCAGGAGGCAAAACTGTGACATTTCCGGGGTCCATTTGTGTCTCTGGCAGCAGCTTTGTGACCCTTACACTACATATGGCTCTGCAGAGTTTTTTCGCACAGAATGTACCTAACATGGTGCGGCGATAAATGTAAACAAAAAGCTATCTGCCTTAACCTAACCGACTTAATCTACAGAACATGAAATAATGTGACACAAGTATGGAACAAGTAGAAAAATGGTGCAAATGGTAGAGAAATTTTAAGTTACATATTTTTATATGGATTTAGATGAAAATAGTTTGACTCTTACCTTCTTCAAATTAAGTAGATGCACCGCCAGGAATCTCCCCTCTGCCCTTGAAAAAACCCAACAAGGTGCGAGCCAGTTATCTCGCGTGATTTTCTGTAATCTCTTGATGTCGCTGGATCCTCTTCAGCGGGAGATGAGTCTGACACAATAGCGCTTTGGAACTGACGTCACTGTGTTTTTTTTTATTAGATTAACTTTGACAAATATTGATATTGAATAAAATAAAAAAAAACATATATATATATATATATATATATATATATATATATATATATATATATATATATATATGTTTTTTTTTATTTTATTCAATATCAATATTTGTCAAACCAACGTCCCTAAGAAACTAGGACGTTGGTTTGACAAATATATATATATATATGTTTTTTTTTTATTTTATTCAATATTAATATTGTCAAAGTTAATCTAATAAAAAATATATATATAAAAAAATTCCCTTCTCACCCACCGCGGGTGGTTTCTTATCCTCTGAGCTCGGGTCCTCTACCAGAGGCCTGGGAGCTTGAGGGTTCTGCGCAGTATCTTGGCTGTGCCAAGGACTGCACATTTCTGGACTGAGATGTCTGATGTTGTTCCTGGGATCTGTTGTAGCCACTGCTCCAGTTTGGGGGTTACTGCCCCGAGGGCCCCTATGACCACAGGCACCACTGTGGTCTTCACCTTCCAGGCCCTCTCCAGTTCTTCCCTGAGGCCCTGGTATTTCTCTAGTTTCTCGTGCTCCTTTTTCCTGATGTTGCAATCACTTGGTATTGCTACATCTACCACAACGGCTTTCCTCTGATGTTTATCCACTACGACAATGTCTGGTTGGTTCGCCATTACCATTTTGTCTGTCTGGATCTGGAAGTCCCACAGGATCTTAGCTCTGGCGTTCTCCCCCACCTTTGGGGGTGTTTCCCACTTTGATCTTGGGGTTTCCAGTCCATATTCTGCACAGATGTTTCTGTACACTATGCCTGCCACTTGGTTATGTCGCTCCATGTACGCTTTCCCTGCCAGTATCTTGCACCCTGCTGTGATGTGCTGGACTGTCTCAGGGGCCTCCTTGCACACCTACACCTTGGGTCTTGTCTGGTGTGGTAGATCTGGGCCTCTATTGCTCTGGTGTTTAGGGCCTGTTCCTGGGCTGCCAGGATGAGGGCCTCTGTGCTGTCCTTGAGTCCAGCTTTTTCCAGCCATTGGTAGGATTTACTGATATCAGCCACTTGGGGTATTTGCTGGTGGTACATCCCATGTAGGGGTTTGTCCTCCCATGATGGTATCTCTGGCACCTCAACCTCCGTTCCCTGTTGTCTGAGACATTCACTGAGCACATTGTCTGTTGAGGCTTTGTCCCTGATGTATTTATGGATCTTAGTTGTTTCGTCCTGGACAGTGGTTCTCACACTCACTAGTCCTCTGCCTCCTTCCTTGCGGCTCGTGTACAGTCTCAGGGTGCTGGATTTGGATGGAACCCTCCATGCATTGTTAGTAGCTTTCTGGTCTTAATATCTGTGGTTTTTATCTCCTCCTTTGGCCAGCTAATTATTCCAGCAGGGTATCTTGATTACTGGCAAGGCATAGCTGTTTATCGCACGGATTTTGTTCTTGCCATTGAGCTGGCTTCTCAGGACTTGCCTTATTCGTTGGAGGTATTTAGCTGTGGCTCCTTTCCTTGTGGCCTCATCGAGGTTGCCATTTGCTTGTGGTATACCTAGGTACTTGTAACTGTCCTCTATGTCTGCTATTGTTCCTTCTGGGAGTGAGACCCCTTCTGTGTGGATGACCTTCCCCCTCTTTGTGACCAGCCGACCACACTTCTCTAGTCCGAATGACATCCCAATGTCAGTGCTGTAGATCCTGGTGGTGTGGATCAGTGAGTCGATGTCTCGCTCACACTTGGCGTACAGCTTGATGTCATCCATGTAGAGTAGGTGACTGATATTGGCCCCATTTTTGAGTCTGTATCCGTAGCCAGTCTTGTTGATAACTTGGCTGAGGGGGTTCAGGCCTATGCAGAACAGTAGCGGGGACAGAGCATCTCCTTGGTATATGCCACATTTGATGGACACTTGTGCAAGTGGTTTTGCAGTTGGCTTCAAGGGTGGTTTTCCACAGCCTCATCGAGTTTGCAATGAAGGCTCTCAGAGTCCTGTTGATGTTATACATCTCTAAGCATTCAATGATCCAAGTATGCGGCATTGAGTCATAGGCTTTCTTGTAATCAATCCAAGCCATGCACAGGTTGGTGTGTCGGGTTTTGCAGTCTCGGGCAACTGTGCGGTCTACGAGGAGTTGGTGTTTGGCTCCTCTGGTATTTACAACCGATACCCTTCTGTGCCGTGCTCATGTGTTTATCCATGTGTTTGCTTATCTTGGCCGCTATGATGCTGACATGAGCTTCCAGGTTGTGGAGAGGGCAGGTTATTGGTCGGTAGTTGGGTGGGACTGGACCCTTTGATGGATCCTTCTGGATTAGGATTGTCCGCCCTTCAGTTAACCATTCAGGGTGAGTCCCACTTTGTAGCAGCTGGTTCATTTGGGCTGCCATTCGCTCATGGAGAGCAGTGAGTTTCTTTAGCCAGTAGGCATGGATCATGTCAGGCCCTGGTGCTGTCCAGTTTTTCATACCTGAGACTCTTTCTTGGACATCTGTCACAGTGATGGTTACCGGGGCTTGCTCAGGGAGGTTGCTGTGGTCCTCTCGTAGAGAGATCAGCCACTGTGCATTGCTGTTGTGGGACGCCTCCCTTTCCCATATGCCTTTCCAGTATTGTTCCGTCTCCAGCCTTGGTGGGTCTGCTCTGTTGTTATTGTTACCCTGCCATTGAGAGTACACCTTAGCTGGTTGAGTGGAGAAGAGCCGGTTAATCCTTCTGGATTCATTCTCCCTTGTGTATCTCTTTAGGCGGCTGGACAAGGCTTGGAGCCTCTGTTTGGCAGTCTCGAGTGCTTCAGGTATGGGCATCTGCCTGTACTTTCTGGGTACTGGTCTTTTCATTGCACCCTTGTGGAGCTCTGACAGTTGGCTCACTTCCCTCCTTGTTACCTTGATTTTAGCCTCTAACCGTCTTTTCCATGGTGGGTATTGGGTCTCATGGTTGCTCTTATAGCCAAGTATCTCAAGGATCACTGATGCTGAGTTGTAGATCAGCTCATTGGTTTCTGTTATGGTGTTGGTAGGGATCGTTCTCAATGCTGCATTCACATTCTCAATGAGACTTTCAGATGGTACTCACTCAGCCGTTGTAATTGGCGCCGGGGAGGCCTGGTTGTCATTCGGGTCATGATTCTCTCTCTCAGGTCAGCAGCTGTCTCGTTCAGCTCTGTTTCGCTCATTGGGGCCGTGTATCCCCTCACTGGGTGGGGACTTGTAGTTAAGTCCCCACAGTCCTGACATCCGGGTTCCTCCCTTTGCCGTAGCATTTGTGTGTGTATCTCGTCAATCTCAAGTTGTGATAGCAGTTGCCGTTTGCGGATGTTGGAACACTGAGCTACTAGTTTGTTTAGCGCTTAGTGTTGACTGGGGATGTCGAAGTAACCATTCCTTCCCCAGTCTTTGCATGTAACCTCTCTCACTAGGGTTACTTGAGTAGTAGCATTCCAACAGATCCACATTTTCATCTCTCGCCCATTTCCGTCTTGTTCCAGTAGCCCATTTGTCATCAAGGTGCTCTGGTTCCCCAACACCTGACGCAGACCTTGTTTGGCCGGGCGACGTCTGAGCCGGCATGTTATGCAACTTAGTATCTCTCATGGTATGAGGTAGGCAGTAGCTTGAAGGGTCTTGCCTAAGGACCCAGACTGGATTCGAACCCTGCCCTCTCGGGTGATATACTGATGCCTTATGTATTGAGCTATCCAGTCAGCTACCATACCAACCAACCCATCTCTCCAACCCCTAACATTTAAAGGGAAGATTCGGAAAAAATGAGGAGAAGGAAACTGAACCTCTGGCGTTCAGGAAAAGGTCAGAATGAAGCACCGACTCTCTTAAACTGAATCCAGAACAACTAACCTCCAACCAAATAACGAGATTATTAACATTGCCATTTGAGACAGCCTTATTTATTAATTCGGCCGATGTTTCTAAATGTTAGAAAACAAAAGACGACGCGCGACGTCCACTGCGTTGTCAGTAGACGAGGCCCAGAGCTTTGCGATCTCATTGAGATGTCTGAGATTTTCTTTGCGGGCATCTTCGTTATTCTTTTCCTTGAAGCCCTGAATTTTTCAATTCCAGCGCCGTGTCGGTGATATATGATAGAAATATAAAAACAAAATAGATTTCTAAGTCTTCATT